GCAGAGCGCGCGGCTTCGGGAGAGCCACTTCAGTTGTCAAGCACCGCCTTTGGAACCACAGGAAGCAATTATTCGGCACTGGGGTCCTCCAAGTGTTTCCCTTTGTCATGCAGAAAACAGCCTCCGAGTGACACACTGATGGCTGCCCGGCCAAGGGCTAGGTTCTCATCCAGCCCTTCCGGACCATGTGCAGAAACAAAAGCCTTGGGAGCCCAAGCCTGTTCAGTGATGTGGGGCAGGCTGACTTAACATTTTGTTTGGGGAACTGCTAAACATGCATGACATTTTAATTTCACAAAACCAGGTTCGCTGCCTTCAAGATGTAGCCCAGCACCTCACAAGAAACAGCGCACTCTGGAAGATGCCAGGGCAGATCCAAGGGGAGGGTGGTGTGGCAGCAAGCAGCACAGCTGTCTCTCATGTGCCTAGATGCTTGTTTTCTCATCGCCAGCTTAAAACAGGGAGCCGCTGCGATCAGTCTGCCCCTTCTCCAGCCTCACAGCGCAGGCAGGGGTCACCAGCACTGGGCAGTGAGTCCAGAGGCTTCCAACTGCCACAAGCTACCTCGTGCCCCCCCTGGGGCTGTTTGTTCATCTATTAAATAAGGACTCGCTGACATTCTCTTGGCAGCCTTCCCTGACCCCCTGCAAGAAGGCAACTGGTTCCACTGCCGTCTTGACAAAGCATTGTATCAAGTTTGAACCGACAAACTCATGGTGACCTCCTATAGGCCGGCTGGCTGCCCTGACAGCGTGTAAGGTCCCCAAGCCAGGCTTTGTGTCTCTTCTACCTTGGGTGCAACCTGACCTGGGCACAGCAGTATTTGCTGAGCCTGAGATGGACATTGTCCTCCACCAGATGAGAAAGGATCCTGAAGACAGGTGTTCTGTCCAAACTTGCACCTGTGGCCCTGAACATGGCTGCTACTGTCAGTTGCCATCAGGCAAGCCCTGTGCACACTGAGGCAAGACCATTTCCATCCTTAGGCTTGTCCCTGGCTGGTTTTCCGGAGCAGAGCGCCAGCTTCGTCTGGACGCTCCGCTGAAACCTGCTGGGCATCACAGCTTCCACTGACCAAGGGGTGGCTGCGGCAGTGTGGTGGAGAGGCCCTGGTTGGAAGGGGAACCTCCTAGAAGGTGGGTGAGCGTTTGTCAGATCCCTGAGCTCCTCAATCAATGCTTCATCAACAAAAGAAAGACGGAATGAACACACGCCTTTCAACTGGCCCACCGCTCATGTAACCAATTTTGACACCTGATTTGCCTTCTGCCTTGAATTACGCTGCCATCGAGAGATGGCAGGCTGTTGGAGTGTTGGGTCCACGTAGATATTACGTGTATCCTCTGTAGCTCTGTTAATCCCGCTAGGCACAGGGCACATTTTCACTGAGTCTGTGCACTAACACAAAATCGGTTATCATCCGCAGGCCTGGAAAATGTCATTTAGTAGAAGGGCAATTTTGCCTCAGTCCAAAACCAAAACTGAGCTCGCTGCCATTGGGTTGATATCAACTCACAGCAACCCTACAGGACAGGGTAGAACTGTCCCTGTGAGTTCCAAGAATAATAAGCCCCGTCCTTCTCCCTGGTTTCAAACTGCTGACCTTGCTCAACACACGACGCCGACGACACCAGGGCTCCTCCTGCCTCAATAGCAACTACTAATATTGTCATTCAGTATTTACTAACTACATCCTGAGCATAATATCGAAGCCATCCTTGATCTCTATAAAGGAAAACCATTAAGTGCTTTAGCGATATGCTTCTTATCCCCATAGGAAATGAACTGCCGTTCCTAGCAACAGCTAGCAGATCACTATTGATTCCACTCCTCACAGATGAAGATCTACCTGTTTGACTTTTGACACCCAAACATCTACAATACAAACAAATGCCCTCCCCTCCTAGGAGCCTGGCCACAGCTGCTCCCTTTGAAGCTTTTCTTGGACAAAGATTGATGTCCAGGGGGCTTATGACTCATTAAAGTTGCTGATTAGTTCAGATACTTAACTGCCAACTGGCTCCTTTCACGCACCTTTGATACTTTGTGTGTAACGGGGCGCAGTGCGCCGTGCACACTGTGAAGGAAGGAGAGCTCTGATCTGTCCTCGACGGACTCCTATTCATGAGACTCTTCAGAACCAATGTTCTTTTTCTACAAGGTGGCCAGAACCGGGCTCTGAGCACAGAGGCGGTGCACTGTGTAGCTCTTGGTTCTCTTGAAGAAAACTCCACAAATGTTGATTCACTAATAATTTACTCTAGTGAAAAAGCTGTAGGCAGTCTCAAGTCTGAGTAAGTGTGAGAGTTAGAAAGGTCCCTCTAGACTTACAATGCATTTTTCCACGTTCTGTCTGGAATAGGAATATAAATAGCACATTGACAATGCTGCTGTTGGGCTACTTCTAAGATCAACCATATTTTTGATCAGTTATGATTTATACGCCAGGATCGAAGTAATCCAAAAAGAATTTAGTCCTTCTTGCCAAGATTAAGGTACACACAAATCTAAGCTCACTGCCAACAAGTCAGTTCGGACTCTTATGTGTCTTACACAGCAGATACTGAATGAGCCCTTCCACTGGACACAGCCAAAGACACACATAAAAACACACAGTACAGGGTTTTCAGGATGCAGAAGACAAGTCAGTGAAGGAGAGTGAGAGGTGAGGCCACCGAGTGTTCCGGGGGACCTCACCTTTTAAAGGTGTTTCCAGGAGGTTGTGCAGGGTGGGAAGTCAGGAGAAGCTAGTGAATCCCCCTTTTGGGGAGACAGGGCTGAGAATTGAAAAATCAAAGCAACCACAATGTCTAGTATCCACACAAAGATTATTGCACATATAAAGAAGCAAGAAACAACCCACAACAGAAAGAACAATCACACTGTAAACACATGACATGCCCATCAGAGGAGACGGCAAACTTGGAACATTCATACACTGGTCAGCATTCAAATGAGTGAACTATCGATGTATGCAATAGCATGTAAGAATCTCAAAATCGTTACACTGAGTGAAGGAGGCTTGCAAAAACCAGATTACAAATAGCACATGTATGTATAAGAAATTCTAGAAAACAAACATATTGCCAGCAAGCATATAAAAAGCAATGGAGGAGCAAGTGGTAGGAGGGAATGTTTAAAAAGGTCATGAGGGAACTTTTGGGGTGATAGATATGTTCATGATCTTGAGTGGTGATAACCATCACATGGTGATTCATATGTGGATATTAGTATATGTCAAAACTTATCAAATTGTATACATGAAGCCCATTTATTATAGATACATTTTGCCTCAGTTTAAAAAGAACACTAAAAGCACAGTGTTTTGACCTTGAGAATGTCGCAGAAACCAGCATTGTAGGATCCCTGCTGTTATGGGGGACTGCTGGGGTGGTTCCACCCTCCACTGGCCCCACAGTCTTTCTGCAGTGAGCCCATTGTGGCGGCCACTGGGCCCATCTGTCTGGTGAGGGCCTTCCTCTTTCACACTGCCCGTTCGTCCTGTGCCCACCCTGCTAGCGCTCATATCCAACTGTTAGAAAACGGTCGGTCCCACTGACCGACCGCTGAGTGGGGCGTCTTAGGGTCTGCCGTTGGATGCAGAAAGGACGTGTTTCTGGGAAAACGAGTTTGGGCCTCTGTTGTTGGTCTCCTTGTATGCACACTGCTCTGAACTCTCTCGCCTATCACCATGGACTTTGTGACTACAGTTCCATCTCATTTGGTCCAGGCCCTTGTGCTTGCCCCCACTTTGAACAAATAAAGAGAATTCACTGAGAACCACAGAACCACTTTCTGATTCTGTACGAGATCCGCAAACAAAAGAGAGGAGGCGTTTCACCTTCTCACGCAGGTAACTGCGAAGTCTGCCCTCATTGCTTTTAGCTCCTTCCCTGTGAGTCTTGAAGACCATCCTGCGTGGCTTTCTCTGAAGCTTCGTTTATCATTCAGGCTACTGGTAATCACCAAAGCCAACACTATCAACTGTCCTCGACTCTTAACTTGACGTGTTCGCAGAAAGCAAAGGTCCGGGTGATGTGTACAGGGGTCAGCATAATGCTCTGTGAGCTGCCGGTCAATCGACTCTGTCCATTAGCATCACACAGAGATCATGTTCCACTGGCTTAAACAAACGTCTAAAGAACGAACCACTGTTCTGTTACTAGCGATAACATTAGTATTGGTCATTAAATGTATGCATATTTATTTTAGCATTAGAGACATAGTTGGGTGAAAAGTCAATAAATTCTTACATAGACCATGTAGTCTGGACTTGGGCAATAAATTCTCCAGAAGAGAGTATGGAAACTTTGCTTCAACGAAATGCTAAATTACATAGTATTGCTGTGCACAATTTTATTTGAGCCACAATTAGAGAAACTGCTTTAAATGACAAAACAAAACAAGAACTCTTTGGTAGAAACTGTTGAACACCTTGACTGTAACTGTGACGGCTGACATTAGAAGCCAGCCTGGAATCTGTACTTAGTACAAGGCAGCAAGAGACGACGCCTATGAGAAATAAAGAAGGTAGCGTTCAAAACTGTAGTGAAGACTGAATCATCCAAGCGGCCCGACACCGTGAGCGATGCTGCTGGAAGCCGGAACAATGGTAGACGGGCACTAGTCAGGCAGCATGAAAGCAAACACTTATTGACCGAACATCTCCTAAACGGCAAGCCAAACTCCGAGCCCCAATCTGATACCAGTGCCCAGTGGGAAGGCCCTCCTAGATCCAGGGGAGGGGGGCTCCACTCTCCGTGTGGAAGGAAAAGCGCGGCACCCTCTGCTCTGAATGGGGTTGCTTCCTTCTTCGTGTGCTATCAGAACAAGGCTGTGTCCTGGGTCGGTTTTGAACTCTTGCTGTCTCCCCCTGGACAATTTCTCCTGATCGTGCCCAGCCCCCAGCTCTAGGAACTCATCAGGATTCTGACTGCTCCTGGCCACCCGTGTGTGGTGACTGGCCCTTCCTTTAAGCAGGTACCCAAGACCCTACTTACGTCATGCATGGAGTCCAGCAGCTTGGTCAGTTGGTAGAACCTCTGCCAGCTCTGCCCAGAATTGTTGGGACACTTTGTGACCATCTTCCTCAATTCCTTGATGTAATTTGTTCTCATTTCTTCAAATGCAGCCTGGCTTTTGAGGCCGTCCTTTGGAACTGTGTTTAAGGAACACAGACATGTAAACTCTCAGCCTGGGAACCAGCGTTAGCATCTTAGCAGTTAAACCCCCTAGAATGTGGTGAGCCTGTTAGGCTCAGACGTTTAGATCACCACTCCTACTGAATCTCAATTCTTTGCACTTATGAGTAAAGCTATCTATTGATACACACACACACACACACACACACACACACACACGCACGCACGCACGCACTCACACACACCATTTCCCACTGCCATCTGGTAGATTCTGACTCATAGTGACCTTACAGGGCTGAATATAACTGCCTCACAGGGTTTCCAAGGCTATAAATCTTCTGCACAGAATTAGATTTCTACAACTTTCTCCTGTGGAACGGCTGGTGGATTGTAACCTTTGGGGTTAGCAGCCACGCACTTAATCGCTGTGCCACCAAAGCATATATTGGTGTGTATTGTTTGTGTGTGATTGTATGAGTGGTCTTCCAAAAGTTCATGGAACAATAGATTTCAAAGAGAATGGCATTTTCCCACAAACTTCTTGAAGCTTTCTCATATGTGTGCATATGTATGTATGTATATATACACATATATAAATACACCCAAACCCAAACCAAACCAAACTCACTACCATGGAGTTGATGTCAACTCACAGCAACCCTACAGGGTACAGCTGCCTCTGAGCGTTTCAGAGACTGTAAGTCTCTAGGAGAGTAACTCTTTGGCAGCCCAATGGGCAAACACTACATACATCAAATAATAAGATTATACTTAGCAAGTATATATAATGATCAGGAGTCCTGGTGGCCCTGCTGGGAAAGAGCTGGACTGTTGTCTGTGAAGTCATCAGTTGAAACCCACCAGGGGCCCCATGGAAGAAGGATGAGGCTGCCTGCTCCTTTAAAGACTTACAGCCTGGGAAACCCTACATCTTCGTAGAGTTGGAATCAACACGATGCCAGTGGGTTTGATTTGGTTTATATGCTGTTATGAACTTTGCATATTTTAGCTCACTTAACCCTGACATTCATCTTATGATATAGCCATTAATCTTGGGTTACAGATGAGCACACTGAAGACTGGATGTTGACTAACTTACCTGAGGACACAATAAAAGATGGTACAGAGGGAGTACACCTCGGTTGTCTGTTTTCAAAGCTGACATATTAACCACAACCCCACATTGCCTTACGGCTAGCCACCAATGTGTTTTATGGGTTCTAACATGCCAATAACTCAGCAGAAGAAAAAGATACTTTGCTGTTCTAGAACAAATGGAAGAACCATAGCCAATCTAATCTGGGACTATACTTAGAGAGCAAAAGATTAATATTCAAGTTTAAGTATCAAAAGCACCCCCAAAAAACGCCTACCCACAAAGGAGAGGAAGCTGTACACAGGCAGTCCTCTCCCTCCTTTTGACAACAGGACTACTGAGGCAACTCTCACGTGACCACCTCCGGGAGCAAGCTCCTGTGCGATGGGGTCCACACTGACTGGTTCTGCAGCACCGCGCCCCTGCTTCTCTTTGATAAGGCAGAACATTAAGGGCTATGTTTCCATCGTGCCTTTTGTGTGGTGGCTAGCCTTTGTATTTACAGTGCTGAAATCCCACTTAAAAAGGATACTCGGGAACTCCGCAGCCAGTTATGTACTTTTTGCGACCTGTTGTGCAAGATGCACTGACAGCGCTGTCCCCGAGGGAAGTGTGTGCCTGTGCAGGTGTGGGCGGCAGGACAAAGTGCAGGGCATCGTTTGTGAAACATCTACTTCTGTATGTGGGGTCAATGCAGTCAGATTGGAGGTATGCTTATCCTTCCACCCTGGAAAAGGAAAACCACCAGACTTTTTTCCAGGCCTTGTTGTTAGGTTCCTGTTGAGTGAGTCCCGAATCATGGCACCCTCGCGTGTGCAGAGTGCAAGTGCACTTCGCAGGGCATTCAGGACTGTGAGCTTTTCGAGGCAGATTGCCAGACCTTTATTCTGAGGTGCAACTGGGTAGAACTGAGTCACCACCCTTTCAAGCTGATTGCCAAGCACTTAACCATTTGCACTACCTAGGATCAGCTTCTCAAGTCTCTACATCCTTTTAACGGACCTCCTATCTAAGCTTACTTCCTCCCCCATACTTTATTTACGAAGGCTCTTCCAGCCAGTGATTTTGGTACTCCCGCCAAGTGAACTTCGTTTCCTGATGGAACTGGGAGCAATGGTGGGGGACGGGTCACTTTTGAGTGATTCTTAGCAGGGTTCATTGTGCTAGCCATCATGCTGGGCATCTCAGCAGCAGGAGGGGCATCTCAATGCCAGCAAAAGGGAGGAGTGAGGAGTAGAATGGGTCATTTGGACACTGGGATCTCTATGCATTGAACCTCCGTGATGCAGGGGCAGCTGTGACACCACAGGAGAGGGGGGAGCGGAGCAGCAGCAGCAGAACCGAGCGGCCGAGCAGAGCATGGGACTCCCTCGCCCACGGAGTCAATAAAGCTGAAGGCTTTGGGGCAGAAGGCTGGCTCACAAAGTGGGGTGTGTCTGGGCACTTTATTGGGGCAGCTGGGTTTGCTGACCCTCGGCCCTGAAGCTGAGAGCCTGTGGACCAAGGCGTTAGAGCATAATATTTACTGGAAGCCCTAAAAAATCTTCATACCATTGCGGGACAGAGGCTAGGCAGAGAGGCAGAGGGCCAGAGAGGGGCCTGCCTGTGGGCATGGCAGATGGCCATGGCTGAACAAATGTATCCTGAGCAATGCTCATCTGCACTGTAAACTCTTAAACCGGCTCATAATCACGAGTGTTGTCTGTGAGTTCTGTGTGGTCACGCCAATCAATTATTGAAGGAAGAGACTACTGTGGGAGGTAGAGCAATAAAAGTAAGGAGTCCTGTAGAGGGTAGCACTCTTATATATAAATAACTCATGTGGCTCATCAAGCCCTTGTGATGGCTAAGCACATTTCTGAATATTACATGCCACACTGGAAGCTGGAAAGAAGGCTATTTTCAAATACACCCTGTAATTCTCTGTAACCCCCAGAAGCACTTTGGAAGAAAGGTCTGGCCACCTCCTTCTAAAAATATCAGGTAAACCCCATGGAGCACAGCTCTGCTCTGAAGGGCACAGGGTTGCTCTGACTTAGAACTAACTGTAAGCCGACTGGTAGTGGGGAGGTTCTCCATTAAAGATCGGAGTTACCTCACTTCTAATCGTCTGCCAGTCACCATCTCCTTGAGTTCTAATTATCAAGACTTTCGATGTGTTATTTATTTTTGTGTGGTGAAAATTCCTTAATAGCAACTACACAAATTACCCAGTATTCACCATGAGTTCAACTCTCTGAAAACCACATTGAGTTAAATGCCATCATCCATTATAGAACAAGTGTCTTTTTTTCTTTGAAATTAAAATTTTGTTTGAAAAGAACATAAAACAGAGATAAGTGCTAATATGTTAAATAGTAAAACTAGAGATCTACTTTCTATAAAAAATATGAATATTACCCTAAAACTTCCTGAAAGAAACTGAAAATTGGCAAACGAACAGCCTATTCTGCCCATCTGTAGATGACTCAGCTACAAATAGTTTTAAGTAAGAACAATAGTTTTCATGCGTGCATCAGAGAGTAGTAAAATAAGCTTGGAAAAATCAGCAATTACTGTAATTCATAAAATCCTTTACTTACATATTTTCTGCCTTTTTATTTTGCTTTCTCTGTGCTTAAAAAAATCAAAATTGAAAGCTGAGCTACTAGGAAGCCAAATACATTAATCCAAGAAGTTTCAAAATGATGTAGAATCTGAGACCAAATGAGTAGCCAAAGTCTGTCAAGTATGGCTGTCACAACATTTTAGGGGAAAAAAAAAACTTCAAAAGATGTCATTTGAATTCTGTCATCCCTCTGATATAGAAAGATACAGAGTAAGCCTGTGAGAACTGGCAGCTGCCAGCACTGCCCCGTGGCTCCAGGGTCTCCTTTTCCTCCTGTTCTGTCGCTTGTTTCTGTGGGAAACATATGAGTTCTCCCTCTCTGGCAGGCGTGGCTTGCTTTCGCAGGTGTGACTGGATGATTTCAGTCTTCTAACTAGTAACGGTGAATCTCACAGCTAGAAAGGGGCATTGGGAAATGGATGAGCACCAGGTCACAGTGGCATGCGAGGATTCACAGTTGGGATGCTTGTTCGATAAGGCATTAGAACAAAGGAAACGGTCCCAAATGCATGATTGGTGGCAAATCAACCCTTCCCAGGTACAAGTGGGACGGCATATGTGGGTGGGAGCCCTTGACAGCAATAGGGTGTTGGCATGCCCAGCAGGCAGCATCCCGGGCTCTTGAGTGGCAAACCCTAGCTCTGGCAGGGAGGAGGGGCCACACAGCTGTGTTTTATTTGGCCAGCACAGGGCTTGGGGGATTGTTTTGGGATTTTTGTCTTAATTTGTTTTCATTGAATGCAATTGCCCAAGGTAGGGCATGCTCTCTCCACTTGGCCACAGGTCCCCCCATCCTTTACCCCAGGCCAGGGCATCTTCATTTGCAGCTCCTCCCTTCTCTTCACGGCACCCCTGCTCTGCTCCTCGTCAGGGTTTCGGATGCTCCTCATTTGTACCAGCTCTGAAGCTTCAAGCTGGAGGCAGCACCTTTACATTCTCCCTCCACCCATCTCCTGCCAGCCCAGAGAGGGGCACTTTCTCTTCGGGGCATGCCTGGGTGGGTCCTTGAGGGACTGTCCTGGGGCTGACACAGCCATAAGTCATATCCTATCAGTCAGGCCCTGACCGACTGACTTGGTCAGAAGGCACTGGGCCACTCTTGTAGGCTCTTCTGTGTGGTGCTATGAGGCTCGAATATTTCAGTGCAGCTTCCTGATCAAGACAGACTAGGGCCATGGGCTGGGAGAAAGGGGGGGCTTTCCACTGCCATCAAGGGTTACAGTTGTGGACGCCCACAGGGCAGCTCTGCCCTGCTCTCTACGCTGGCTTCGAGTCAGAACGGACACCGCGGCAGGGAGTTTGGTTCTTCTGATTGGTTGGTTGGTTGGTTTTAGAGATCGAGATCTAGCAGAAATCTATGGATTACAACAGCTCATCAAGAACTGACCCTGGGGGACAGATAAAACCCTCAGGAACAGTATGGAGTAGTGATATCATGTGGGGAGGGAGACGGTGGGGGCCGAGAGAAAGGAGGAACCCATCACGAGGTTGGATAGATAGCCCCCTCCCCCCAGGGGGATGAATAACAGAAAGGAGGGTGAAGGGAGACAACGGACAGTGTAAGACACGAAATAACAATAATAATATATAATTGATCAAGGACCCATGATGGTGGGAGGGTGAGGGAGAGAGAGGAAAAAAGAGGACTCAAGTAGAAAGAAATCGTTTTGGAAATATTGATGGCAAGATATGTACAAGTGTGCTTAATACTATTGAATGTTGGATTGTTGTAAGATTTGTAAGAGCCCCCCCAGTAAAATGATTAACTTAAATAATAATAATAATAATAATAATAATAAAAGAACTGATCCTTGGGGGTGGAGGTTTTGTTCCATGACTCAAAGACATGTCATAACCACAATACTCTTTTAGGGTTGCTTTAGCTGTGACTAACACAGGGGGAAATGTGTCGTAAACTGTGATGTCCTATATGTCCGTAGAGCAGGATTATTCTCCCGAGGTGCCACTGTACCAACTCTTCCTGCTCCCATGTCCACCTGGGGCAGGTTTACCCTTCCTCCCATCCAATCCCACCTTTGCTTGAAACAGCTCTTCCTCATTCTTCTGCCCTGGCTACGCTGGCCTATGGGGTGACTTCTCCTCTAAGACGTCTACTACAAATCGCCCCTTCTTCCCAGGCCTGGTTTATGTGCAAGGAGCGGGCTGGGTATGAACTGGATCTCTCTCTTGCTTCTAGGTCATCACTCAACACCATCTCCTCTGAAGCGCAGGCTGCTGCCTGCCATGGCGTCTCCCCCTGCCCCACCCCCCTTCCTCAGTGGCCACGCACAGCACTTGGCTGAGTGCCCCTCTCCATCCCATTTCCTGCTGTCATTCTTGGTCCCACCCACGTCTGCTGCGAGCTTCCTCAGTCTTCACTGTTAGAAAACTGCCGTTCTTGCTGAGAAAGAAGTGTCCAACATCTTTCCAAGGCGACTCCTGTCTTCTCTGGCACCTCATGCCGTCTTTTCTCTCTCCTCCCATACTTGGTTCCAGAAGCTGCTGCCTAAAAGAGCTCCCCATCGCTCTGCACGGTCCCGGCCATCTGACCCCTGCCCGTTGCCTAATGGCCACCCCAGCAGGCTTCATTCCGGGCTCTCCCCTGTACTGTGGAGGCTCTGCTTGTAGCCATACCTCTTTGGGAAGCCTTCAGCTCTTGGCTTCCAGTACCAGGCTTCCCTGTTGCTCATCTCTCTGACCGCTCTGTCTCAGCCTCCGTAGCTTCTCCTTTACTACAGACCAACGGCTCTTTCCTGATTGCTCTGAACCACGACAATTCCACGCAGCATTGGAGTTCCAACTACCCTTTTCAATGAGGATAATCTCCAACTTGTATCTTTCTAGAGTTCCAGTCCCAAATTATTTCCCATATTTTGGGCATCACTAGTCCAATACAGAGCTGACATCTGAAAGTGAACTCATTCCAAAGAGAATGCATTATGCAGTCTACAAAACTGCTCCAAGTCCCAGTAGTGACACAGTTTTATTAATGGCATGCTTTTTCTTTACGCTCTCTGCGTGCTTGGAACCCGTGTAACTTCTGACACACAGCGTTTCCATGTCTCTTTCAGTCCGTTGCCAAGGCCAACCCTGCAACGTCTCCTGAATCCATTTGCTCCTGTTCATCACATTGCTGCCACCATCCCAATCCCGGTATCAGGTTTAATAAATATAAAACTATGTAAACAATTAAGAATTAATGAACACCACCTCCTCCCTTACTCATACCCCACCCCCAGCCCAGTTGTTGCCTGGCTGTGCTTTCCCCTGTATCTATGTCAGGAATGTCATCTCACTGCTAAGAGCCAATGCACACCCCCTCCCAGATGCAGCTTCACAGAGAACTGCCCCCCGATCCCCAAGCTGAACAAGCCCTTCCCGTGCGAGCCTCCGCGATGCCCCTGGCCTCTTCTGCTCCAGTAAATGGCGGCTTTCCACAATGCTTTCAGTTACCCTTGAACTCGTCCTATGGCCTACACTTCCTGAAGGTAAGTAAGGACTACGTCTCATTTACCCCCTTGCAGTTCCGGAACTGCCGGTCCTACCATGTACACGACAGGCACTTCATGCTGAGGAGATGGATGGATGAAGAAAGGAAGAGTGACACTCTCTCTCTTCATTGGTCCAAAGTCTCATACTCAGCAAGTCATTTCATTGGAGAATCAACGTCCTCTTCCTACCTTGTCAGATTGTCTTTACTTTTTTGGGTGTGTGTGGGGGGTATGTGTGTGGGGAGGTTGGGGATACCCAGAATCTCTGTGCTATAAATAGGCTACTCCCCTAAAGGGAGGTTGATTTAGCAAAGTAAAAAAAAGTCTCAGGGGGTAGGCATCCATTTACTTGTGCTTAGCAGCAGCAACACTTTCATGATGGTGTATTCTTCAAAGGTAAGCTGCAGTCGAACGAACTGAAGGCTGATTTGGTGCATCCCCTGGCAGAGCTCATACATGGCCGACTGATGCATCTTCTCCCTGCAGAAGGAAAGAAGAAATGGTCTGAGAATGTGAGGCCATTACAAAACCCATTCCGGTGGTGCAGGACTTCAGAGGAGGACTTAGCCAGCTGCCTTTTGGCTTTGCCATGGATCTCTTTTGAAGAGACAAGTTAGCTACCTCTCATAGCGATGGGTAAGTTGCTTTTAGACTAACACTGCCATGCCATTTAGAACTGCCCGTTAAGGATGTGTCAGAAGCACTGAAGTCAACCTTTTCCGATGTGACCTTAGTTCTCTCGATGTCAAGGGTAATGCTGGGGCATCGCGATAGTGAGCTCAGCCACGGGACAGGGCCGCAGCCTGTAGATTCTTGTTCCTTTAAAGCCAGAGAATATGGAGTTTTTGCAAAGGTCTGGGCTAGAGACCATGAACATCAGGGCAGCAGTAACTTTAAACGCGGAGGTGGCTGGTTTCAGAACCCATCTCATTTCCCTGTGCTACGCCCCAGCTCCTTCCTCAGGGAGGCCAGGGCGCAGGCGGTTAACTATCCCAGCAGCATGTTAAAAACAGGAAATTAAACAGTAAAACTGGCGGGGAGGTGGCGCATGGAAAGGGTATGGATGTCAAATGGCATCGCTCTGATAAAGGGAGACAGTAATGGGGAAGTTTTGAGCAATCTCAACAAGCGCGTCCACAACAATCCGCATTATTTTAGCACAAGTCACTATTTGATCTTCGCTGCCAGAAGTAAGGAAGAGATCACATTGGTTCTTAGAGCTTTTCCCTCAAGACCCTTGGGGAACTATGAAGGACCCTAGTGGTTCAGTGGGTTAAGCATCACCTTTTCACTTACAGGAGAGAAATGTGAGCAGAGAAGGCGGGGCCTGCTCTAAGAAAGAAGGAAGAATTGGGAGCAGAGAGTGTCCTTTGGACCCAGGGCACCTTCACTAGGAACCTCCTTGGTCAAGGGTAAGACTGATGCCAGGGCACATGGAGGTCTCCAAGAAACACCAGGGCCACAGACACTGAAAGGAGACAAGGTTTCCCCTAGAGCTGGCACTCTGAACCTGAAATTCTGGTTTCCTAAACTGCGAGGATATATTTCTGCTTTTGCTAGAACATCCACTTGTTGTTTCTACTACAGCAGCTCTAGATAATGTACTGAGGTGTCCACCAATTTCTTTGTTCGCCATTATTTCCTGTGTTTCATTCCATATTTCTGGGCTGTAGTTCCCACTTATTGAAAGTTTGCTGTTTTTATTCATTCAACAGCAGTTCGACACTGAATGGTCAAGTGGTTCAGTATAATTTTTCCCTCCTCAAAATCGAGTTCAGCTTCAATCTTGAATAATTATAGCCTGCCAGTAACACTTCCACAGCATTTTGAAGATAGTATTCCACTTTCTCTACATCTTAATTGCTGCTGTGGGGAAATTTCCTGTTACTCTTAATTGTATTCTTCAACAGGAAACCCAGATTTAATCTTCAGTCACTTATCAAATTTTCCTTCTCACTTGATATCTTTACTTTTATTATTATAAACCTACTACAAATGGTGTTCTTATATCTTAGTGCCACCTATCTATTTAAAGACTCAAATATTTCATCAGCTTGAAAATGTCCTTAGCCACTATCTTTTTCAGTGTCACCTCCATACCATTCCAGTTGTTTCAGCTTTATGAATGGCTACCAGTACTGGTTTGGAATTTCTCCCTTTATTTCCTATACTCACCTGCCTTTAAAATGTTCTTTTATCTCTGTGCAACGTCCACTGTGATTTCCGCAGGTCCACTTTCCCATCAAATAGTTATGCCTTTGTCTGTATCTAACAGGTTGTTCAACGTCCATTATGTTGATATTTTCATGTTACTTTTGTCTAGAGCTGCCTAACATAACTGCTCTCTTTAATTATTTTTCAAACATTTATATTGTTTTTTCATAAGAGATTTCTTATTTTACCTTACATCTCTAAATATTAAAAAATACATGTCTTATCATTTGTTACAACTTTGGTACTGATATGTTTATCCAAGATTTATTATTTTGGCAATACAGATTTTCTGCCTTAGGGAAGCGATCCTGAAAAGGTTTTAAAGCCGTGGATGCATTTCACCTAGCCGGAGCCAGCTTATGCGAATTTCTTAGCTTCAAATACTTTCTGCAAACTCATGCGGTTTAAGTTGGGACTGCACATGTGACGTGGTGCAGGTTCCTTCTACCTTCTTCGCCGTAGCACTGGGCTGATGGGCTGGTTTATTTATTGTCCTTGTTAGTAAACTGGGCAACTTTGCAGAGGCCTGGCTTTATAAAAGAGACAATATCGCAGGCCCCTAGCCTACTGGCATCTAAATTCTCCTGCTCCAGGTTAGGTTTTAATACTCTTCCCTAAAGCAGGTGTCCAATAGCTGTGGGTCAACTGTAGCCTCTGCTCCACCTGAACCACTTTGACTGTGATGTGAATTCCCTGACCATCTCTTGCTCCTGGGGTCTTCTTTTGACCATGGCCAAGTACTTAAGTCAGCCTCACCCTCAACCCTTTTAATCCAGCATTTCTATGTGTTTGGAGGCAAGGGGGAAGCAACAGTTTAGTTTTCTGATGTTTTGGGGAGCCCTGATGGCGTAGTGGTTACAAGTTGGGCTGCTAACTACAAGGTCAGAAGTTTGAAACCACTAGTTACTCTGCAGGAAAAAGGCGGGACTTTCTATTCCTATAAAGAATTATAGTCTTGGAAACTCACAAAGACACTCAAATAGTCACTCCTGTAAGGGTGACTATGAGTTGGCATCAACTCAATGGCAGTGAGTTGAATGTTTTGGGATCTACTAGCTTAATAAAGGATTCACATATTGCAAATCTTTTTGAATGTCAAATAGAATATCAATAGATAAGCATCATGCTCCAATCTTTTTGCTTAATAAATATTTATAAATTAATGAAGGAGTGAAAGAAAGGGAAAGAAATGAAAAAGGAATAAGTAGAAACAAACATGAGATAAAGAGATTTGCACATGATAATGATTTTGTGTGGTGAAATGAAATTTCCTAATATGGTTCTTCTATCCATAATCCCTCTCGTGATGTATTGCAAATTTTAGCTTTTATGCCTGTGGTTAAAATCCCATTTTGGAGGGAGTTCTTATCTATGCTAATGGACAGGATTGAGGTGGGACATATTCTGGGTCTCCATCTTACCAGAGTGGTGAATCAAGTCGCCTCTTTTTGCTTCCTTGGGGGTTATGGTCTGCTGAAAAAACATTAAAGCCATTCCGAGATATCTCATATCTCGGAAGCAGAGGAGAGTTCCCGAGACCATCAAGGAATAAGAGCCACCAGTGGTGCATGTTCAAAATCCCTGCCCAAGTGGTGGAGACACCCAAGGCCATCCCACCCCAAGACCAGAGGCCAAGGCAAGGAGACCATGAGACAAAGCAGAGGAGCAGTGCAGAGGTGACGAGACTGTGAGGCAGAGCCGGGGGCAGACAAGGGGCCCCAGGGCTGAGAGGCTGGGCACCAGAGAGTCTTGGCTGCTAGCCGAGGAGACTTACTGCGGTGGATAAGAGACTAGTTCCTTAATGTCTCCTGCCTGGCTTGTGAAGCTTGCTAACTTCTCTAATATAGTCTCATAATTGTTAGCATTCCCTATGAGTTCTCTGTGGTGGCGGCACCAGATTATCGAACCCAGCAGAGAGCCATGGAAGGCAGGATTGCTGTCAGAATAGGGGAAAAAAGGATGGAGCCGAGGAGGCATGTCCGATCTCTGCCTGGTGACAAGGCCTTGGGCTGGTGAGAACGTGGGCATTCCTTCTCTGTTCCGTAGCCAGATGGGGTCAGATGTGGCTTCCATGCGGTTTTTTCTCATTACCAAGATAGTACTGGTAACTGATAGAGAACAGGTTGTCAAATGACTAGAATATTCGAAGTAGCAAAATGTTAAAAAAAAAAGATTTGGATTTTAAAATGAAGTTACGTGAAACAAAACTAAACTAACTGCTGTCAAGTCAACTCCTCGTGATGGCCACCACCTGTTTCCCGAGCAGAACTGCTCTCCGTCGGCTTTCAAGGCTGGAGTGCTTTGGAGGTGGACTGGCAGGTCTGTCTGCCTTAGTGCCTCTGGGGGGATTTGAACGCTAACCTTTCCATTCGTATCTGGGCACTTATCATATGTAAAACTGGGATACTACTTATAATCCCATACTTGCAGGGCTGTGAGAACTAAATGTATTAGAGTTCATAACGTGTTAGAGCCCCAAACTCCGAACCAAACCCATCACCATTGAGCTGACACTTGTTCCCGGTGAACCTACGTCTGTAGATCTTCATGGGCCAGACCGCCTCATCCTTCTCTTACAGAGTGACTGGTGGGTTTGAACCTCTGACCGGGCAGTTAGCAGTTCAGCGCTTACTGGACAGTGCTGGCAGGGCTCCTTACATCGTACACAGCATACAGTACAAATATTTTGATATCATGGATAGATTAAAGTACTTATTCAAGGTCCAAGGATCATTTTCAGTAAAACAAACTCAGCAAAGAATCAAATTCCTGAGATGACTTTACAGGAGAACAAGATTGCACTATTGTTCTGGCTAGTATTATTGTCCTTCTGTATGAGGCGGTAACTCGAGCAAAGACCCAGAGAGAAGGCAGGCTTTCAGGAAAGGGGAAGTGACTTGCCTACAGTAGAACCTGAGAACTACACACCTCAGCGGCAGAGTGTCTCTGTTATCAGACGTGTTAACAAAACAGCCACACAGGTTACAGGTTACTTAAAGAGAGACCTCAGATTCTACCTGAAAACAGATTAGAACTTTAATGTGTGACAACACACCTAAAATAAGCATCTTTGCCACCTGAGTATGAACAGCCCTCATTGACCCTTTCTTGGGCATTACCTGAATAACCTCAGTGCCTATCTGCATAGACTTCCGTGGAGTGCCTATACCATATGCTAGGGCTGTTTCTTATTGTGAATTCCTATAATGCCATGTTAGGAATTATCCTTATGTTTGAGAGAAGGTAGTTTTTGTAAGTGCTGCAGC